AGGGGCTCCATTTTCAGGCCATTTCTCTATATTGTTTTTACTGCTGATTCCAATAAAGATCTGTTAGCTGTATCAATGAGTTTGTGGATGATGCTAAGCTGGGAGGAGTTTTGACCTCCTTGAGGATAGAGAGGCCTTGCCTTGAGATCTGGACAAAATGTGGGTGGTTCCCATCTGTACAAAGAAGGGCGAGCGCTGGGTTCTGCTCCTGGGATGGGGTGCCCTGGCTCTGTGTGCAGACATCAGGGGTGAAGTTCTGGAGCGCAGCCTGGCCAAAAGGGATCTGGTTTGACGGCAAATTGCATCTGAGGCGGCCGTGCGCCTGGCACTCAGAAGGGTCAACCGTGCCCTGGGGTGCGTCAGGCCCAGCACTGGCAGGCGAGGGAAGCGGCCGTCCCGCTCTGCTCTGCGCTGTGCGGCCTCGCCTGCAGCGCTGGGTGCAGGTTGGGGTGCCACTCCATAGGATGCGAGGAGAGAGTGTCCAAAGGAGGGCTCCAGAGATGGAGGAGGATCTGAGGGCACAGTGTTTGAGGAGCAGCTGAGCACCGTGGCTGTGCTCAGCCCAGAGCAGAGCAGGTTGAGGGCAGCCCTCATGGCGGCTGCAGCTCCTGACAGGGAGCGGAGGGCAGCGCTGAGCTGTGCTGCCTGGTGACAGCGACAGGGGAAGCCCATTCCATGCCCACCACTCTGTGGTCCTGTGTGAAGCCAGGGGCTAGAACTGATGACCCTAGGTCTCTTCCAACTGCTCCATGAATGCCTCCATCCGCACACCCCATGCTTCTCACCCATAGCATCGAAATTGGGCAGTGGCTCTCCCAGCTGTCTCTCTCCCTCCCAGCTTCTAGCAGTGCCCTTAGCTGCTGCACAGCAGGCAGGGCAGGGCATCATGATCTTTCACACTCTGGGAAAAGTCCGTTGTTTGTACAACAAACTGAGCATGCGAGGGAATACACAAAGAGAACTTACAGGTACACATCACGTGAGTAAAAAATAAATGGTAGGAGATAATTAAGCAAGAAAGAAGCAGCATCACTGGCTGGAACAAGGCTGTACAGCTGGCCTACTCTTGTGGCTAATGAAGAGTTGGAGAAAGGGGCATTTCTATCAGCTCAAGCCAATTTGCTGACAGTGGCAGCAGCAGATCACTTCCTATATAAAAGACCTGCAGTGACACAAGAAGTGCTTTGAGGCTTGTGAGCTACGTTTACCAGGAGCACAAGCATCCATCTGTCCCAGAACCTTTTATCCAGGATCACAGAAGAAAGGCATGGTTCAGCTAAACCGGGGAGGACATACACAGCTCTGATGACTAACCCTTTTAAAGCTGACAAAACACTCGCTAACACAACACATCTGATCTCACCTTATGACACGAGCATTTCCAGGGTTTTGCAAAGTTATCCAGAAACAGCTAGATGCAGAGTAGAGCCAAACGCAGCTTCAAACAAGCTGATAGCCATGAGCCACATGAAAAAGGGGCTAAAGCTGTGCTATTCAGGAAGAGAGAGACTGTAGCAGATGCTCTGGGGATTATTAGTCTGGTAGATACAGTCTCTGTACCATGTTCAACAGCAGTTTATAAGCAAATACTATCTATAGCACCTTACATGGAAATTGAGTATTTATAAAGCAAGAGGGTTCTACTTGAGATAAGAATTGCCTGAAGAATCAGACCTGCTTCTTTCTTCCGTTTGCTCAGTACCCCTCTGCACTGCAGCGTGGGATAACACCTTGATTCAGCTCTAATACCAGCTGCGCCCTAAATTCGGCTGCTTCCTATCAGTTCTCCTTGGCTGAACAGCAACCTTCCTGATGGCAGAACCATTGTTCCTGGCCTGAGACCACTATCTAAAAAGCCAGATCACCTAACTCTATCCTTTGGCAAGACCCTTCCTGTTAGTCTTGCAGGACAACATCCCCTGTAAACACAAAGGTGAGTTCCCACAGGCAGCAGTACACAGCAGCCCCAAATCCTGTCAGTGGAGATACCAGGAGGCAGTGGATGATAGGACGTAGAGAAATCCCACAGCCCCCTGCAGCCCAACAAGGCTTCCCTGCTCTCAAGGAAGTAATTTTGCTCATTCCCAAAGCCATTGCAGAGATGTGTTGTGATGAGGTGCATCGAAATCTGGTGGAAGACCCTGTAAACATAAGCATCAAATATTATTTTATGTGTATGATTCTAACTTACATAGATGTTCAATTGCAGTTGAATAATATGGCCAACCATAAACTTTACTTCTGCATCAGAGCACAGCATACAACCCACAAATTCTGCACAGCAATTACTAAGTATCTAACAAACTTAATTGAGTAAAGAAGTATGAAGTAATTTACTAAATGTCTGATGAAAAAAGAAATAAAAATAAAAAAAAATTAGGAGCTGTCCTGGTAAAAATTCCAGTGGCTTTGCTTCCTTCAGAGATACAGATAAAGGTTTTTAGGGTAATAGGACAGACACTTGAAGAAACAGCAGCGCTGGCTATGCATATAGACTGGAGAATGAGATGCTGGAGAGCAGCCTCACTGAAAGATGTCAAAAGGTCTTTGCTGATAGCAAATTGAACATGAGTTAACAGTGTGTCCAGGCAACCAGGAGGGACAACTGTACCCTGGGGCACATTACACACAGCAGGTCAAGGGAGGTGATAGTCCCACTCCACACAACACTGGTGCAACCTCACCTTAACTATTGTGTGCAGTTTTGGGCACCACAGTACTAACAGGACATAAAACTATTAGAGCATCTCCAAAGGAAGCCTACAAAAATAATGAGGAGTCTAGAGGCAAAGACATGTGGATCATGTCCCTTGGTTTGTTCAGCCCAGAACAGAAGAGGCTGAGGAAAACTCTCATGGAAACCTACAGCTTCCCCATGAGGGGGGAATGAGAGTGCAGATGCTGATTGCTCTGGTGATCAGTGATAGAACCAAAGTGAATGGTGTGGAGTTGCAACAGGAGAAGGTCAGGCTGAATATCAGGAAAAGGTTCTTCACTGAGAGGGTGACTGGGCACTGGAACAGGCTCCCTCAGGATGTGCTCATGGCACCAAGCTTGTAGGAGTTCAAGCATTTGGACAGTGCTCTCAGACATGGGCTCTGATTTTTGGGTGGTCCTGTATCAACTCAGAATATTCTATGGTTCTAAGTACACGTTGTCTCCCATGGTATCCAGATACTGCCAGAAACAGAACCTAAACTTGGTGATGAAAGAGATTTGTCATTTATTTAACCACTCATTTTAATTCTTAGTCATGCCTTATGTACTTTTTCAGTCTTAGGGGTGAATCATATTCAAATATACAGTTTCTAACAAGTACTGATACTTTAAAATTCATGGGCCATTATTAGAAGCACAGGACAGACCGCCCTGTTGCACATGTGTTATCCACTGAGGGAGCTGGCACTTTATTCCATGCCACACCTGTGCATAAATTTAAAGGTTTGAATAAACCGTATATTTTCCTCTCTGGCACTGTATTTCCTTTATGATTCACACATGTGATAGGCCAGGCTATCATTGCAGACTACTGCCTCTTGTACTATGGAGGGAAGTAAATTTTGCATGTCTTGCAGAGGTGTGAAGGCTTAAGGTCTCACTATACATACTGGATGTCCAGTAGGAGAAGTCTTCCACGTTCAGTACCAAGCAAGTGGAATTTGAATCCATGATAGGATAAAAGCCCTCCGAAAAGGGAACAGATGGCCCTCATGAGACCAATGAGTCGGTATGTTGATGCCCAGTTCTACAGTAAGCAGCCCAGACCTCTGTACACTGAGAATCCAAAGAGTTCCTGTCCAGCATAAAGCTCACCATGAGCATGGCAATTGATGCAACCTTGTCCTGTTTGAGATGGCATTTTTCTTCCAAGATCTTTTGTATTTTTTAATTCCTGTGTCAAGTGTGCCCCAGCCAAGACTGACTACAGACAAACAGGGAAAATGAGCAGGATTAGGGCCTGTCAGCCACACACTGCTGTTCTGGGCTGATAAATGCCTCAAAGCCTGCAGTTAACAAGGGACAGCTACAGGAAGTTTGATACAAGTAAGATCAGAAAATTTCAGAAATCTTAATTGCTGCAGAAAACAGTTCTTTCTGAGTCTGCTTTACCTTTCTCTACCTATGCTAAGTAAACACAACTTGTACTTTCAGCACCATGTTGCACAGGCTGGTGGTGGCACCTGGAGCATCAAGCCCATCCCTGCTCTGTGCCACAGCCCGTGGGCATCTCCTCCTTCCCTTCCTTCTTTGGAGCTCTGTGTAAACAAAAGGATGGGACAGTAGACAATGAAAAGCAAGGAGGGAAGGTCTTGTTCCTTTGCTCTAAAGCAATGGACTGGACAAAAGTCCCATTACACAGAAAAGCAGGTCAGCACGTAGCAGACATGAAGAACTGAACTACCAGGGTGTGCACAAATGCCCCTGCAAAATGCTATAATAGATTTGGACATTAAGCTACATCTGAGGGCCAGAGAGGTACTAAGACAAGGTGGAAAAATCAATAGCATAAATAAATAAATAAATGTGTGTGTATATATATATATATATATATATATATATATATAAAAGATGTAAATGAGCTTAAGAGATCAAAGGGCTTGGCTCTATGTGTATATTATAACGACTGGAATGTTTTATACACAGCCAGCATTTTTTCCTGGCAAATAATTATGAAGGATTCGAGATGCTTAATACTGCTTCCAAGTCATATCAGGCAGTAGCCTGAACTGTGCAGCAAGCACCATCAAACTTGCATTTCCCGTTCCTAAATGTTTTGAGGCTCTTGGGAGGTTTAACTGCTGAACTTTGAGATACTGATCATAGTAACAGCAGCAGCATAGAACAAAGGGAAGGGAAGTGCAAGTGAAGCAGAAGCTTAAACCAAAGCAGTAAACTACATGTTATTGACCTCTTTTTATTAAGAATACTTGAGAAGGACATTGTAATGGATTCAAAACATTGGGGGGGGGACAGAAGGAAGAGACAACACTTAAAAGAAATGATCCATGGAGAGAAAATCTCTAATAATTTATTGACCTTCAGTTTCACATTGTGAAAAAAAAAAACGCAAGTTTTACAAAACCTTAAAATGTAGTAGCAAACAAAAAGACACACCATAGACATTTTTCTTTTTCATTTGTACAGTTTCCTTTTAGTATATGAACCACACCTCTTCAACAGCCAGGAAAGAGAATATTATTCTGCTCGAATCACTCTTATTCAGACAGGTGTCAGACCTAGAAAAAAGGGGCTGCACATTTATACCATGAGAGGAAGGCTGTTCTTTGTTAAATGTTTCTACAGCAACCAGCCCGCAGAATAAGAGGAACCTTCTCGTCTTTTGCCAAGGGTTTTGTGTGCACTCTGCTGTGAACCGCCTTCACTTCAAAGCACAGGCTGTGCACAGGACTGGAATGGCCAAGCATGCCACTGGGATTCCCACAAAAGCTTCAAGAGCCCAGTGCCTTCCCTCCAGAGCCTGAAGCCCAGCCCAACTCCCGCTTCCTCCAGCCTACCCACAGGAGTTAATACAAAGGGCAGGAAAGCAGACCTTGGAAACAGCTGCAGAAGCTTATCCTACTTTTGGAAGCCACAAAGTGCCACAGAACAGATTTGTGCCATAAGCTGAGCAGCAAGGTGCAGAGAGGCTTCGCACCTGAACTCTCATCAGTTTGACAGGGAAAACAAACCTGGGATGCCCTGATTCAAGGGAGGGGCCCTGGATCCTCACCTCCCCATGCCTTGCACCACCAGTAGCACCTGGCAGAGGACATGCAAAACACAGGTGTCCAACATGAGAGCTTGTTTGGTGCCCACAACCCCTGAGATGCACAGCACCAGAGGCTCAAGCCGGCAGCAGGGCATCCTGTGCATGCAAAGGGATGCAGAGAGGAGATGTATCCTACCTAAGATGTTTTTCTATTGCTCAAAGCCACCTAGTAGAAAGGAGCTGATGTGGGCAGAGGGAATGCTGTGGGTTTAAACACTTTGTTAATCTATCATTTCAATAAATCAGTTAAACTAGAATAACTGCAACTGTTTGTACCTAGCTGGGCCTCACCCTTAAAATAAGCTGCTAATGCCTTTGCTAATCAATGTTGTCTGAGTATTCACAGAACTCCAAGTATTCTATTTCTGAAATGTAAAGGTCTACTCCAAACAGCAAGTCAAACATAAGGCAGCACAGAGAAACTTCCAGTGACCAGTGTAAATACTTTCAGATGACACGGCTTTCACAACTACAGCTACACCACTGTCACACAGAAAGGCAAGCATCACCAATGTGACTATTTTTGTTTTGCATGCACGCATGCAGCTTGAGTTTACTTATACTGCAGCACACACCAACCATGTTACTGAATGTGCCAGTCAAATTGGGCTCCAAAAACATTTAGGGAAAAACACAATACTATACATGCTTTGTAATAGAATCTGGCAAAGAAAGCACCTGTGAAAAATAAGCTTCTGAAATCCAGAAAGAAAAGAGTAGCTTCGTATCTGTCTCAAGACCAGACGGATAAGAAACAAATTTCTTTAAAAAAATTAAAAGACTGGGTTCTCAGGTCTGTATCAGACACTCTGAGCAACCAAGTGTTTATATACATACCTGGCAATGGAAGAGAAAAGGCAGAACAGTCTGAGGGTTATTTTTAGGACTAGGAGCTTTGAAATTAGTTTTCTATCCCCATGAGAATTTGCTAGAGCACTTGGGTCTTTGATTCTTGCCCACTCAGATGATCATCTGAAATCCAGATGGATGAGGCAATCCGGTCAGTGCAAAATTGCTGCTCTTGCATTTAAGACTTCATCTCTAACATACCTTGAGGTTTTTTGCTTTTATTCCTGAATCAGCCGCACTCCATTCACTGGGGTCAATGTGGCTGAATTGTAGGTATCCCCTTCTCCTATCCAATAAATAAATAAATAACTTTGGACAGTGACTTCATCTGGGCTTGGTATCCAGAAGCTATTCCACAGTATTTGCATTGCAATCAGGGAGCTGCACAAAGAGAGAGCTGCACATGGTTTTGGCTATTTCCAGATAAGAAATTGAAAGGCATGACCAGCAAATGAAATGTAGCAAGGACACCATCTACAAGATGCACCACACGCAACCTGGGAAGTTGGTGGCCTGAGAAAGTGACTTCCATGGCTTCTTCCTTTAGTAAGTGTGTAATTTAAGATTTTCCTCTTTTTAATCCTTCCATTTCTGACAGAGAAGCCACCCCTCCCACCGTCACCCAACAGTTTTCTTTCTTTGTGCAGCAGAGCAAGTCAGCAATCACAAAATGTGCAAAACATACAACGATTCACACAAGCCCTTACAACATGAAGACAATTGCAGGCATTGTTTCAGCATGCAAGCACAGAACAATAAATAACTGTATCTACAACAAATAACGTAACAAGAATAGGACAGTCTGGATTACTTATAAATACAGGGAGGAAAGGGAACAAGAAGCATTTGGGGCTGCCACTTTTGCTCCCCACTGTTGCAAGAAGATTTTGCCACTGTGCTCTTCTTCCTCCAGCAGGAGACCATTCACTGCAAGGTCCAGATGCTGTAGGTACTGCCCACAGACAAGCACCTCTGGCATGCAGAGTTCTCCAGAAGCACAGCTCCTTTCATCCTGCTGCTTCTGACCCAGCCTGCTATCCTGCAGCTGGTGCTGACACTTCAAGTCATCACAAAGGGTAGTGACAACCATTTCAAATTTCTCATACAAACAGCAGAGTCCTCAAAAATTGAGAGCTGTGTGCTGCACTGCTCAGAGAAGCCTTGTCTCTTCTTTCTCTTTTGAAGGACTGATTAATATCGGCATTGATCCGCAATTAATAGCGCAAGGACTAGATCATAGGTTCACTCATTTGTATTTAAGCCATGTGCTGAAGTCCAGAAGACAGTTTTTTCCTCCCATTCCTTCATCTCTAATTTAGATAATTTACAAGGTGCAGATGATTTTCTTCAAATGCAAGAGATGCTGAATTATTTTTCTTCATTAAAACCACTTATCCAGATCTGAGGTTCCAATTCTCTTCTCCAAACAGTGGAGTAAACTAAAAGCAGTGGGAAGGAAAAAAAAAAGAGAAAGAGAAAAGGCTTAAAAGGCTTTGCAGAGACAAGGTACCATACGGTTTTTGTTAGATGTCAAAGAAAATCTAACAGCTAGGCTTACGACACAATCCAGTTGATGCACTTTCCCACCCCCTGCCACCTTACAGTTTCAACTACTGATAAATAAACAGGCCATGAACATAATTACTTAGGGCCAGATTTGCCTTCCTACTCCTCCTCAATAAACCATTCCACTCAGCCACAGAATGGGGTCAGCTAAATTTTCAGTTATAAATCCAATCATTTGAAACCTCAAACTGGCCAAACACAGCTTAACATGATGGGCTCTGCATTTGGCATACCTTAACATTTCTCTGCTCCCCCTGCATGCCCATGGATTTCTTTTCAGTGAAGTTTGTGCAACTTCTCTCCCACAGAAGCCCAACTGAACAGTTCCTTCTGTTCCTGGGCCACAGCAAACCTGGCAGGAGTAATGCAAACGGGGAGGTGAAGGCGTTTCACCCCAATGCTTCCATTCACTATGAAGAATTCTCAATTGAATTTATTCACGGTATAGAAAAGGACATATTAATCCCCTTACTTAAAACATCTCTGCTATTCATTAGAGCAGAAACCTGCTTCATTCCTTTTCCACACAGCAGTGCACCATGCATCAATAATTCCATCCTGGAGTCTTTTATAAAAACTGATTATTCAAAAAATTCAGCCTTTGGATCCTGAGATTGTGCTCTCTATTTTCACTTTGAAGCTGCATTAAAATGCTAACTCCCAGATCATCATCAGCGTGTTAGCAGTCATTTCTGACAGCACTGCTAGCGTTTCCAGAGTCAAACCCAAATCATTACAATGCCAAAGAGCTGCAGTGAACTGAGTTGGCTTGAAGGTAACATGTATTTCTCAAGCTGTAACGTCTAAGTACAACAGGGAGCACGCAATGGAAACGCAGTAGCCCACATAACAGCCCAAAGAACTGTGCCTTTTTTTGCAACTGTGGGCTTCAAACAGGCTATCTTCATTACATCCAAAAAGCTTCTGCTCTTTGTGTTGATTAGTGTTTTCTAGACATTCCTCGGGGCAGCATGTCATTCTTCCCATTGAAGAACACATAAATTAGATCTGAAGCCAAAACAATATCCCCGTTACAGGAATGAACTTTTAAAAAAAAAAAAAAAAAAAAGTATATAAATGATTCAAAATCAGAGAGAAAAATATATATATATTTCTAACCTACTCAAAAGGCCCAAGTTGGAGAAAAGGGACAAAGCAGCCTGAAGTCTTCCTAGAAGCTGTCAGGCTGGGGCCACACAGCGCCATGAAAACAGAGGGTAATCAGAAGTAATTTCCTTTTTGTCCCTCCCACCCACTGACAAAGCAGCAGGAGTCAGTGGGAAAAAAAACGCACTTGCTGGATGAGCACACAAAAATCAGAGAGACTTTCAGTCTGTGGCTGTGTTCATCCAGTTATCTTGTGTGTCAGTGCAGCTAAAGTAATGCCTTTAACAAGACACAGCAAAGCAAATGAAAGCTTTTGCACCTCTATATTCTGAGGATGACCTTTCAAAATAAAACATGCTGTCTCAGGCGCTGCAAACGTTAGAACAATTAAGTCAGTCTCAGAAGAATAAGTCAATATTTTTCTTGGCACAAACCTCAGTCCAGGCATTCAATACTACTGTTCTGGTAACAGTGAGAAGCACTGAAAGTGAGTAATAATAGAAATTGACCGAAGATATAAAGATGTTTCACCAGTGAGGGGGAAAGCCATGTCGCAGAAACGAAGTTTCCCTCCTGCTCTCCAGCAGGGTCTCCAACAGCAGGACCCTGGGAGTCTTCAAACACAACGTTCTTTCTGGAGAACCCACCTTAGTCTGGACTTCTGGGGAACTAAGTCGCAAATGCAAAGCTCATGTCATTACTTCAGCTCCATTTATTTCCCGGGTTCCTTCCAGCCTTCCTGCCTTCATGGTTACATTACACACACAGTTCAAATCCAAAAAAGAAGTTGCCACTCCTGGGGCACGGATTATTTAGGATTAAGCAAACCACTATGTTCCTTCAGCTGGCTAATGGTGATTCTATCCTGATGTCTCAGGGGGAGAAAGAGCAACACAGCACTAACGGGAGTCTGCCAGATCTGTTGCAAAACAGACAGAGTGACAGTTCTGGAAAACATCAGCAACTTGCTTTATGTGATGTAACTCTTGGAAAGATAAAAACCAGGAAAAGCTAGAAATGGTTGAAACATGTAGTAGTCTAGAACAACAACAAAAAAACAGTTTGGGAAAATATTGGCAGTGATTTCATTTTTTAATGAATGTTTGCTCCCCTCCTTTTAAAAACTGGAAGGTCACAACATCCCAACAGGGAGGCCAAACTGAGACTTGCTTGGGAGAAGATACAATGCTGAAGTTGCATCTGTAAGAGCTTGGCCCATTATGTGTAATTACATTGCTTTGGAACAGTAAGTGCTATAGACAGGTAATTATTTCAGCCAGCAATATTAATTATATGTCTTCCTGACACTCTATGCAGACCAACATATATATCCGTGATTATTTAGAAAAAAAATCTGTATTTCAAAGTGTATTAATGGGAGAAATTCAACTTTAGTCCAGGTAGGTGCAACCTTGCTGTCTAGGTGAGACAGCAAATTTCATGTGAAGTCCTTGTAAAACACTTCTCACAGACATAAGACATCAAGTTTCCCAAAAGAGGAAAGCATGCAGCCTGCACACAGAAGTGCAAGTGAACTCACTATCATGCTTCAGATCAGAATTTACAGCCCCTACTACTGATGTACACAGTGACCAATACAGTCAGGAGAACAGCTCTGGTCCCTCATCTAGCATGCATTTAGCATATAAAAGCAGAGCAGGGTTCAGTTTCAAAAATATCATCTGCATTGCCCCACAAGGACAGGGCCCAGAAAAATAATATTTTCCAACATCTAAATCACGCAGCAAGAAGTCCTGTGAGGAGAACTGGATGCAGGGAACATAGCAAACCACCTGAAGCATCTGTTTTGTCACAGGTTGGTTTCTGGCCAGCCGCACGTACCTTATCACTCCAATTGCATCACTGGACTGCACATACTTACCCCCTCAGAGCAAAGATTGGAAGCTGTGTGAAAAGCATTATTATGGTGGAACTCAAAGGTTCTGTTTCTTACCTGATAATTTCCAGTTGCAACACACACAATTATGAGGGGAGGTGCTTCCACGTGCTGACGAACGCCGTGGGAATCAGCGAGTAGGGCACGGTCGTTATGCTGTTCCATACGTCCAAAGTGGGATCGTAGCAGTCCAGCGTTTTGCATCTCTGAATGCCAAAGTAGCCTCCAACAACATACAGCTTGTTTCCTGATGCCACTGCATGGCAGCTCATCCGCTTGGCTGTCACATCTCCCACCTTAGTCCACTGATACGTCTCACTGTTGAATTTGTAAGCAGAGCACGCAGAGAATTCCGTATCTCCACCCATAATAAAAATCTGGTTACCCAGGACAGCTGCAGCAGTGTAGCGCCAGGGCTGAGGGCAGGTGGCCGGTACCGTCCATCTGTTCTCACACTGATCGTAGCACTGAACTTTGGGCAGCTTGTCGTGACTGACGCTGGTCCCTCCGAAAGCAAACAGCTTCAGCTTAGCGCTGACCACAGCCGCATTGCTTACTCCCTCTCGCAGCGGGGCAACCATGGTCCATTTGTTGGTCACAGGATCGTACTGCTCTACTTGCTTTAAGGATACTGAAGGGGAAGCCGGAAGGCATCCAGTTGCTGCAGTGTGTCCTCCTACCACATACAGACAGTGCTTCAGCTCAGCAGAGCCATGGCCAAAACGAGCCACCAGCATGGGAGCAGCCTTTGACCACTCCTCATGAAGGGTGTCATACACCCACACATCCTTGGAGACTCCGTTTTCTGACCCTCGTCCCCCAGTGATATACACTTTGCAGCCTATGGCACAAGCACTGAACTCTTTCCGCGGACTCGGTATGTCAGCCTTCGGAATGATCTCCTTTGCCTTTTGGTCCACCAGGTACAGCTTGTCACACATGAAAGTCTGGCCACCTAGAAGAAAAAGCGAATGGCCAGTTTTGCGGGGTCTGGCACACAAACTAGTGACCACTCCATCATTCTGTAGGATTTTTAACTTGCATCGTATTGATTCTTCTACTATCTCTTTGCTTTTCCTTTGCTTGGTGATAAGTTCTTCCATTGCCACGTTCTCCATCAGGTATATGGCTGGCAAGAGGGCTAGCCTCACTGTCTGAAGTAGCTCGGGCAGGTAACAGTGACGCTTACTCAGGTCATAGTTGACCCAGTTCATAGCTGATTCATACACGAGCCTCTCATCTTCGGTTTCTAATTCTTCACTGGAAAGGAGCTGCACTACCATGTCTTTTGGCAGTTGCAGGAAGTCTTCACTTTTACTGATACTCTGGAAGTTGCTAAGGCACATCCTCCAAGAGAGCTCGTAAAGCTTGGTGCACTGGTGAGCATCTGACAGCAGCAGCATGCCAAGACAGTTGGTAGGATGAAGGTTTTTCTCCAGAAACTCTGCACAAGCATCCCTGATGTCCTGGAACTCCAGCATGTCACCAGCCTCCAGCAGCGACTCTGCATTCTCCTCATTAATGATAACCCTGGAGGAATACGCATAGTCCAGAAGCAGCTCCAAGACTTCTGGGTGAATGGAATTATGGAAGTTGACTTCGCTGTCTTGGCTCTCTTTCAGTCCTCCACTGAACATTGCTTCAAAATAGCGGCTGCAGGCAGCCAGGACAGCTCTGTGGCAGGGGAATGACCTGTTCCCAGCATGGAGAAGAACATCTGTAAAGAGACGCTGCTGACGCAGAAGGTTCAGGTGAGTCAGGACACTATCAGCATAGGATGACTTGTGGAATAAGTATATGTTTATGGAGCCAGTACTGGCCCTAGATTTGCGATTTTCATGCATGCTGACTGACATTTTCTTCCACACCTACAAAGAAAAAAAAAAATAATGAGATTAATAGGAGTTCAATTCATTTTCTTTTCACATAACAAGAAGTATATCTATTATTCACTATAAGATGGGGGGGGGAAAAAACAACAGCGTAATTTGTAGATGACTGGACAGAGAATTGCGTGTACCTCTGGCATGTGTTTATTTTTGTAAGATGAGTTTCATAAATTACATACTCTAAATTTGTTGCCCAAGAGCAGGTTTATCTTGGGAAACCTGATCTCCAACTTCCACAGCAATACAGTAGGCAAGTCATAGGAGAAAGAAAAGGAACCAGGGCTGATTTTCTCACCCTTCCCCAATCTAGACCAGCTGATTCATTACATATGTACATATGCACATGTTTGAAACATTCTCCTGTACTGAATCATAGCAGGAAGAGCTACCAGACAGAATGCCTAAGGAATGTCAAAAGCGGCATGATGAACAAAAAACTACTAATCCCATTAGGAAGCTTTGCTTTGTTACAACAATTCCATATGCAACAGCAGAGAATGAAAAGAGGAACCTTAAAAGGAAAACTTAACAAGGATCATAAGTTTAGACTTGCAAAATCTTTAAAAAATACTACAACTGAATTTCAGAAATTACATCTTGAACTCTGCCAGAGGCCGCCTGCTGCAGTGATACAGCACACACAATGGGCAGAGTCACAGAAAGATGTTTTCACTGCCAACTGAAGTCATCAAGGCATCACCATGCTGTGGCTACCTCGAGAGCCAGGTACTCAGAGCACAAGCCATCGACTGCTACTGACTGCTTTTGTGGAGGAGACAAAACAAGAGAAATATCCTATATTGTTCTATTCCTGGTAAACACAGCGCTTGACAGTTCTTATCAGGTGAATGTTCCTGTTATCTGCCATGATATGCAGGTCTACATATGATTACCGGAGCGAGATTCCAGGTTTAATTAAGAGTTGAGCCAAAACAGCACGGAGTGCACAGAAAGAGAGGAATACTGGGAGTTATATAGAGCTAATGGCTGAAAAACCACAGTGCAATGAATAGGTGAAGCATACAGAGCCCAGTGCAGCAATGGCTGTGACTTACTGTTATAACTTCACTTCTCACTCCAAACTGCAGAGGAAGAAAGAAGAGAACCAACCTTCCCTATTGCTATGATACTCTCTTACACAGAGTCCCTTTTACTGCACCTTCAAATAAGGAACAGGGCAAGAGCCTACCTGGGAGGCTCCCAGTGCTCAAAGTCAGAGCATGACCTGGGGCCACCTGCAGAGGTTTTTCATGTGGATGTACTTCCCTCTCTCACAGAGTTGAACATTTTCATATTCGTGAGCATGTTTAAGCAGTACACAACCGTGCAACTCTATTCCCACATTTCATGCTTCAAGCTGACACAAGAGCTTGAAGAGCCTAAAAAAAAAATCCTTTAACAATTGCATTTGTTTTTCTAGGTTCAGAGCCCTCAACAAAATCAAAACCATACATGATTCATTTGGGCAACAGACTTCACTTCAGAATACCCTATTTACACATAATGGAAGATACACTCATTCTGCCACATGTGCAGCACAACCAGTACCATTCTACTTGCTAAATAATATACAGAATAATCAATTTGTCACATACAACAGAAAGTTGTGACACACGCCTTTCACTTCAGTTGCAAGGGGAAAAAAAAAAAAAAAACACAAAAAAAACAACCCTCAAACCAACACCAATTAGGAAACAAAAAGGCAAACCTTACTGCAAAACTACCATAACCCACTTCCTTTAATATGGAAAATTACTTCCCTAGTACAATTCAACTGGGATTGAAAAGAGCAAGCAGTACAACTCAGTGTAAAGTGTTCAGTCCAAAATCCTTCAAAACTCATAGGAATCCTGCCTCATCAGAGCCACAACCCAAGTACCTGACACACAAAAGTTTGGAAAGGTGTTTTAAAACTCTGGTCCCATGACCAACCTACAAAATGCATTGATACCAAGCACCTAGATATAGAACAGCTTCAGAAGGCAAGTACATCTTCTCAACACAAATCCTTTCATAAGAAAAATGAAATTACCTTTATAACAATTCTATTAACTAGTGAAGAGAATGGTGTCTGACTTAGTTGCCATTCAAGGATCTTCAACACTAATCTCAGGCTAAAATAACCCACAGTCTTAATCTACAGGCAAAAAGACCGTACTGACCACATACTCTCTCAGGCTGAAGCCTGCTGGAAATGAAGGATTACAGAAAGGGCCGTGGCTTAAAGTACATATATATACACAGACAATGGGGAGACAGGTGAGATGTGCTCTTTACCAACAAAAAATCCTCTGAAAGCTTTTAGAACTTTTCCAAGCATTTTACCTTTTTAATGCCATCACAATGCAGTGCACAGCATCAACTGGATCTCGGCTTTCCTCACAGTGAGGGAATAAACCTGCAAGGCTTCCTTTGCCAGACAGTGGGATGGGAGCAGAACACCCACTAGGAGACTGGAGAGCCACCAGGAACCAAGGATGGTGCTCAGTGTCCCTGCTCCCTGTCCCAGCCAAGGGAAGGTGCAGACAGACAGCCCTGGCATGTCAGGATCTCCACAGCAGGTCAAGGAGTACAGTTCTTCTCTTTTCCTCCCATACACTGGGGAAGCTCAGAGCATGCAGAAAACCTCTTACCATGCACACAGGGTTCAGTATTAGGGCAGATAAAGTTCACGTCAGAGGCTGCAAACATTCAGCATCTACAGTCCACTAAGAACCACTAGCAAAGATCACTTGGAATGAGACCACAACCACAACAAAACAGATGCAAACTTAAAAAACTCACCCAGCAACAATGCAGACATTGGGGGGTACAGAGCTACAAGCACATGTATAAGAGAGGAACAGATTGCTGCAAGCTGCCGAAGCCCAGCCACAGCCCCAATAGGGAGCACTGTTGTTTTAAAAAACAAAAACCAAAAAACAAAACAAAACAAAAAAACCTATCTGAAGCAGCTACAATGCAAGGCAGTCGCATTTCACCCCACCAAAGGAGAAGACTTGGTCCCTCACTGAGTAATGCCAATTCTAATGGGTGAGTAATCCCAGTTCTTATGGAGCACTTGCAGTGCTGGTCTTTAACTGTTCCGGTAACACTGTCTTTATCATCACAATGCCATCCACTGAGAAGAATTCAAAGTATGCCTGTTCACATTTAAGATAAGGTAACATATTTCCCCAAACAGAACAAAGATACGTATCTACACATTTCTTTTCCTCCTCCGTGGTTGCTGAGATGAGCTCACACATGGACGAGCCCTTAAGAGTAATTATCATAATTCACTAACGAGCACTGTTTCTGTGAACATGTCTTTTTGCAGCTTCTGACAATTAGCTCTGTCCAGAATCCTACAAGAATGTTAAATGGTATAAATGATATCTCTGATTCCTCCGTTTGGTGCTGGAAATTGTGCAAGCCTCAAATACTTCGACGGAGGTAATTTACAGTCAGTAAGCTAATGTTCATCTTGAATAAAATGAGTCAACTCCCTTTAGGCGACTTTTCCTTAGAAATAGTATTAGTAAGTAAAAAACAAGAAGTGGTCAGAAAATTACAGATACAGATTTTATCTAGGAACAGAGGTTCAACCAAGACTTTGATTTGTAATTACACCTCAACAGGCTGCTTGTCACAGCAGCCCTGTAGTAAACACGATTTTAAAACTGAACAACAGACTCCCTGCCCTATTTCTTTGCAGTTCTGCAGCATGCAGGTCACAGCCTAAATCAAATAAAGAATTAAGCATTTTCAAATTACCGACACAGCCACGATGTAGACTCATTTTCATATGAGTCTGTAATTACTTGGGGCTTGTTGAGTTTTAGTGCAGAATCAGTGAAACTGCTGGGGAAAAGGAAATCTGCCATACATCCCATTGATCTGACTGATACTGCTTTCAGCTGCTAACCCCGCGGCGATACTGTCGGTCTCGCTGAGCCGAGCCCTGATCCTGCCTGAACTCCTCTACCACAAGCTTAGCGGCTCCCCAGGACCTGCAGCGAGATGGAAAGCAGAGCACGCTGCTCCTGCGAGGAGTGCAACGCTGCTCACCACACGCAGACAAAGAAACTCAGCTCTAAATTCCCTATAGTTCATTCCACCGCGGTGCCTGAACAACCACCCCTCTGAAACAAAACTTCCCGGTTTTCTTCCCAAACTGATGCAGAAACAGCGCAAGAAGTCAAAGCGCATCTGTTTTTCTTTACAGAGCAACAACCACGTGGAAAAGTTTCTGCTCCAGAGCAGGCGGAGCAGCTCCGCAGCCAGCTCCGGCAGCAGAGCGGCGCCGGTCCTTCCCCCGTGGCTGTCACCGCCGAGGGATGCCCCGGCCGAGGCAGCCCGGCAGCCTCGCAGCAGCACCCGGCTCTCCGCAGGACAGTCGCGTACCGGAGGCACTCAATCCCAGCGCCGGCATCCGCCCGCTTCCCCGCTGCGGGCAGAAGGAAGGGACACAGCGATGCGGGGGGCGGCTGCGGTGCGGCGGACGCACAGCCTCCCCGTCCCACCCCGGCTACGCGCAGCCCCGCGCTGCCCTCCCGCTTCCCCCCGCGGCTCGCCGGGCACAGACTTACAGCGGCTGCTGCCAAACGGGCGTCCCTCGGCCTCCGCGCATGGGAGGGGAGAGGCGGCCGTGCGAAGAGGCGGCCGGCGGAGGTGGTGCCGGCTGCAGGAGGCGGGCCGCGGCGGGGAAGGAGGAGAGAAGAACGGGAGAAGGGGCGGCTGCTGCTGGCACCGCCGAGCCGCAACTCTGCCCCGTCGGCCGCGCGGGGATGGGTATATGGGCTGGGGGCGGGGAGGCTATGCAAAGCGGCTGGGTGACACCCGGGGGAGGGACGGGGAGGGAGCGGGCGGCTGGGCTGCTGTGCTGCTGCGCTGCTGCGCTGTCACAGGAGTTCGCGTTCCGGGGAAGGCACGGGATAGTCCAGCCCCGCTCCTCCAGGGCTGTGCGTGTGGCCGGGCTGCGGTCCCGAGGAGCGCAGGGCGCGCTGCGCTGTGCGGGCACAGGAATACCCGCGCGGGTGCGGGCAGGAGCCGGGATCCTGCTGCCGGCGCTGCCCCGCGGAGAATGCGTGGCCGTGCATCCCCGAGCGCTGGGGCCGCGGCGGAGCTGCTGCCGCTCGGTGGCTGCGTACTGCAGCGCGAGGCTGCGCCTAGCTTTAGTTACTTCCCAGTTAATGAAGTATGAGAAAAAAGCACGCGTGCAAAAGGCCGATGTGAAAAACAAACACACATAACATCGGTGTTTACATAATGGCGTTGTGCAGCTCTCGACCATTCTACACACTGCTGATGTACCGTTTGCTAATACTGCTTGCAGCAATGGCGTTAGTCTAAAGAGGCTTCAAGAAAGGTACGAACAATTTACCCCCACCAACTCACAGCTGCATGTAAAGTTTGCACAATTCATTTGTTCCTCATGAGGAAACATCACCGTTTCTTCTGTCAGGAAAAAAAGAAAATAAAAAAATACCCCTGTAAACAATTTACTAACATGCACATGGTTACGTGTGTTCCAGTGCTGCAGATAAACATGAGCTCAGTGTGTAGCAGGACACATCTGAAAACTCTGGAGAATCCAGGGATAACAGCAAACATGGTGACTCTGGTTAGACAAGGAGCAGGTGAAAGAGAAATCTTACCCATGTGTATGTTTACAATCGTTTATTTATGATATGAAATTCTGTAGATTGCAAGGTTAAAAATGCAAGGTTGCATATCTATATGTAACAAAGTGTATTTCAAAGCTATCTAGGTGTGAGAAGCTCTTGGAAATTGTGAATCACCTTATACAAGGGGTATTCATGGACAAAATGGCCTAACCCGGTGCTCATTTCAGCCAGGCAGTGCTAGTGGATTCTGGATTTATGACAGTTCATGACTGAATTTTCTAGCACCATGGGCTGTTTTTCCTTTCATCATATCATGTTTCATAAAATCTGATCCCGCTTTCTCCCATTTTACCTCCAACAAAACATTCAGAGATTTCAGCCAGATCCTGCCCTAGTAGAACAAATTGTATTATGGTGAATTCTGCATAGTCTGGTGTCATTAAGTCAGAAGTTGTCATCCCATACAATTAAAAACATAGGGTCACATAATTTCATACAGTGTCAGGTTTGTTCTCCTCCCTCCATGAAGGCAAATGATCACCAGGAGTGAGAAACAATATTAGATAGGCTGTAGTTCAGCAGCCACAGCTTTTATGTGAGTATTTTTTTGCTCCTAGTGGTGAGGAATGGTCAGTGGAAAATAAACTCAGTAGAGAGGACAATGTGTAAGGCTTATGCAGCTGCTCACGGCACACATATTTGGGCAATGCTTTGGGTGACTGAAATGAGACAGTAATCCTCTGAGCGACCTCCATAAAACAAGAAACCTGTTGAGGTTAATGAGGGCAGAATAATTGGATGAAGCAACATGTTGCCTGTTGGTGAAACAGCCGTAGAGCCAGACAGCTCCTGGTGCGTGCATGTAACAGCACACATGCACCATGTGAAACAGTGCTACTGATGGGAGAAGAGAGAAGGATAAGAAAAACTCAGTAGTCTTCTGTCAGTTCCACATCTGGAAGCTCTACAAACCACAGCAGTGGCTCTCTTGCATGTCTTCATGGGAGCTGCTTTTCAAGCTCAGAAGACAAAGAGCATCCATACCACCTCTACTCCTTCCTGAAAAAGTTTCAGGACTAGTTAGCTCTCACGGTAAATGCACAACATTCGTAACTAGAGTGCTTGCCTTGTTAGCATGGGGAAAACACTCAACAAATTAATCTGGTCCAAAGCAAATCTTTGGCCCAGTTTACATTGGTCTAAGTCAGGTCACATTTAAACACATTTCCGGTTAAGCCAGTTTTGTAGATGGGCCAATCTGTATTTTGACACTGCTGAAAACAAAGTTAGCCTAGCCTATCCCAGGACATAGCTTAACATGCCCACTGAACTAGTTAGAACATGTTTCTCCTAGCACTCATATAGCAGGATAGATAGGATCTTTGAAATATTGCTAAATATCATGATTTTATCACAAATCACTAGACAATCAGCATTTTTCTCAAAGCCCCAGTTTCTGGAGTCATGTGAAAATGATAATTTCTTAGGGCTTATATTTTTTTTTAATAATAACTTTTAATGATAACTATGTGGAATGGAAGTGTGGCCTTTGAAAACGGAAGACACACAAAATCCCAAATATTTTCTGTTTTTACCTCTGGAATTTTAAGTGCCACATTTGACTCCAGTGCAATTGGGGTAGCAAAAATGTCTTTGTTCAACTCAAATCCAACTTGCTATGTTTAAAAGCATTCCTGGTTTGACTACACGGGTTTCATCTCCCTGCTTCATTTAAATTGGTTTGGCTTCTGTGTTGAGACAAGTCCTTGGATCACTGAATGTATAGCAAATTTTATAACATGGCCTTTTTGACTCTCAAGAGTTCTGCAGGCATGGCTCTGCAGCTGAGACATCTTCCAGACTGGCCCAGCCACACCAGCAAGAGCTCTAACACTGACAGAGCTGTACTACCAAAATAATCCATTTGCCAATCCAGATTACCACAGTCAGGAGAATGAAATACTTTTCTTTTTTTTTTTTTTTTTTTTTTGTTCTGTGTTGTTTTGTTGGTATCAGTTGCATCTACATTAGCAGAGTTTGCCAGTACAGCTATCTTGGCAACCCTTTTAAATGCAAATCAGCTGTATGTGCCCGCAGCACAGGCTGAGATCTCATTTTTAATGCTATTAAACAGCTGTGTCTTGGGCATTTGCCTTGTTAGACTCTTTTAACCACATTATTTTGTTTAACTGCTAAATAAACAGCATGGGGTTAAATATATTAGTGTAATTTATCTTCATTCCTTCTTAATTTACACTTTGAATGAATTAATTAGGATGATCTAATTAACACTGTACAATAGCAGTACCAGTGCCAGCGATCTCTTGGGGGGATGAGGCCAGGAGCACCCCTCAGTGACCCACACCTGCTTTCCTTATCATTTCTCTTTGATGAGCTTCTCCGGATCGGCCTGGAAACATTCGGTTTGTGCACATACTGTGCACAAAGGGCTGTTTGAAGGTCAGCACTGAACTGTTCTTAGCAACAAATACACCAGCTTTTCCATTCTTTTTTTTTTTTTTTTTTTTGGTGGGGAGGAGGGATAAGTCCCTCTTTGCCTTCCTCTCCTCACCTCTGTCAGCGTTATTTTTTCTAAAGGATTACATTCAGTCAGAATTGCCCTTAGATGTCATTCCTGCATGGCATGGCTGTTCACATCTACTGCTTCCTGGAAACCAGCAGCAGCACTAAGGGACAAATTTTTGGGCAAGTGGCATGGAACTGCTACCCTCCAAAACATTCATCCTGCCTTGCTCTGACAAATGGCTGTGAGCTGCCAGTCCTTCACCTCTTGCAAAGTATGTGAACACTAGCCCATTTGAAGTTAGTGAGCTACAACATCATACAATGTGTAGGAGATAGGAAAGAGTAGGTCCTGGTTTCTGTGTATGGCTGAGTATGTTCTACAGAAGGGATTTTCATCAATAAAGAGTTAATGTTGTTTTAAAATAACATTATAGATGTGTGTAATGTTTGGAATGAGAAAAATTTTCACCAAAAATTTCTTAATCCTCAGGAGAAACCCTTGGACAAGCCTTACTTTTTGCATCTAGTCCAGAATTCACAATTCTGCACTATTCCAGAAGTATGTGCTAATTAAATAAATAATTTTTTTAAAAAAGTAATATTGATATAAAATGTCTCAGACTATGAAGAAAAGTCTTCTACTTCTGCACTGTTTATAATCCCTCTATGTCTGTTGTACCATTTTCAAGTCCTTCTTGCTCTTTAGTTACCCACAAAACAGTCACTGCAACTTAGCTTTTATTCTTTTTCCGCTGACTCTGTATTGCCAGCTTGGTCTCTATCTTAGCATGAAAAATTGCTCCTTGTTGGTGAAGACAGCAGTGACAGTGACATATTTTTGACTAAGTTTGATTAGAAAGGGTTCCCCATTTTTTTCAGGTATGCAAGCCAATTCCCAGAGATACATGGTCCAGCACTGTGCTGGAACTTGGGACTGTTACTGAAAAGAGGGATCAATGACATTCATGGTGACGCTCAGCAAAAGCCTTCACATCTTATTCACATACTCAGGAGACACCAATTCCCTTCTCTGAACTTCACACAGAGGCAGTTCCTTGCTTCTTTTCAGGAGCTGCCTCAAGTCTCGCTGCAGCCCTTGCAGCAGTTTCCCTTTGCTTCTCTCTTGCTACGTAGCAGTGGCCCCCAGTGGTGACAGCTGAGCTGGCTTCCCGTTTCAGGTTATTCCAGCCCGGGCTGAAAAGCCTCCATGCTCTAGCAGGAACTTGGCCTAAGAACTTGTGTGTTCCTCACATCTTCCACTTCTGCAGGGCCGGTTCGCACTCCTTCCAGCCCAAAAACACCTGAGCTTGGAAGCATCAAACACTGCTAAGACTCTGAGAACTGAGCTACTTCTTATTCATTTAGTCTTTTAGAAGGGACTAGATCATTAAAACAGAGAACACTGTGTCATCTAGGGAGACCTCTAAGTGATTTTGTTTTATTTATTTATTTATTTTGCTTGTCTTTTATGTCAGTACTGAAAGCAGGAAGACAATAATGTATTCATGCAAATGAATGGCTTTGGTTTTGTAAGAATAGGAATACACATCCCAGTAGCTATGTTTGCATTCTTAAGTATACATTGAAATACAAGGCATTTAAGGTCTTTTAGTACTTAAGAA